GGCCCCCCCCCCCAGCCCTGCAGCCACTCGGGATCTCCGGTTCGTGTGCACCATGCATTCCAGGTCGACCTGGGATCCAGACCCGTGGTTGTCTGGCCATGTAGCTTCCAGCACCACACTTCAGTATGCCACCAACTGCACCACTGAGGCTGGGCCTGAGGGTTTTTTTTTTTTTTTGGTGGAAATTTTTATTATAAAATCCTCAGAGCATCTCTCTCTCTTCTTGTGAGCAGGCTCTGGAAAGGGACAAGCAAACAGAGGATCAGAGGCCTTCAACACCTCCATCACCCCAGCCAACTGCTGAGAATTCATACCTCTACTCCACGGAGATCACACTGTGGACGGTCGTGGCTGCCATTCAGGCCTTGGAGAAGAAGGTGGATTCCTGCCTGGCCCGCTTGCTGAGCCTGGAGGGCCGCGCGGGAACGGCAGAGAAGAAGCTGGCCGACTGCGAGAAGACGGCCGTGGAGCTGTGCAGCCAGCTGGAGGGCAAGTGGGCCGCGCTGGGAACGCGCTGCAGAGGCGGCTGGAGAATGTGGAGAACCTGCTGCGCAACAGGAACTTCTGGATCCTGCGGTTGCCCCCGGGCAGCAAGGGGGAGGCCCCCAAGGTAGCCCTTGGTGCCCTGGGGTGGGGGAGCCCCAGGGGCCGGGTCCTTCAGTGTGTGGGCGAGCGAGTGTGTTGCTGTGGTTCCAGGTGCCCGTGACCTTTGATGATGTGGCCGTGTATTTCTCCGAGCAGGAGTGGGGCCGGCTGGAGGACTGGCAGAAGGAGCTCTACAAGCACGTGATGAGGGGCAACTACGAGACGCTGGTCTCGCTGGGTGAGGCTGCATAGGAGGATCGGGTGTCCTGCAGCCGTGCATCTTTGCTTTGGCTTCTGTGGGCGTATCTGCATCTCTGCAGGTATCTGGCACCCAGCACCTAGCCCTCTCCCTGTTCTGTGTGCAGATTATGCCATCTCCAAACCGGACATCCTCACCCGGATAGAGAGGGGAGAAGAGCCTTGTCCTGGAGACCTGTGGGGTCAGGAGAAGGGGGATGAGGAAGACTCAGCACGTCCGAGGAATCCAGGTGCTGGTGAGTGTGATGGCGAGATGGGGGCGACTGGGCACACCAAACCCCGGCCCTGCCCTCCTGGCTTCCCAGACCAGCTTGCCATCTAGCAAGTTTTTGAAAACACATATTTCTTAGACTTGCCCAGGACTGCTGAGGAGAATCCTGGGGGTATTTTCCAGGTCTTTACACACCAGCTGGGACAGGACTCAGTTGGGAAGTGGTTGCTGTAGTGTCCGAGTAGGCCTCAAAAGCTGACTTTTTAAAAAAGTAATCTTTATTTATTTATTTATTTACTTAAATAATTTTTGGGGGGGACCAGCAGGTGGCGTGGTGGTTAAGGCGCTGGACACTCCCACATGGCCGAACAGGTTCAAGTCCTGAATCTGGTGGCTTGCTTTCTCACTTTCTCTCTGTCTCACTCTCACCCTCTGTCTCTCTCTGGTCAAATTAAAAAATAAATGAATAAATAAATAAATTAATTAAAAAATAATTATTTGGAAAAAAATTTCCAATTTCCTTTTTAAAAAATTTTTAAAAATTTCCAATTTAAAAATTCCAATTTCCTTTTTAAAAAAATTTTAAAAAAGAGAAAAAAATAATTTTTTAACATCTTTATCAGAATTATTTATGATTATTTTTAAAGAATTCTTTAATCTTTATTTATTTGTTGTTTATTTAAATTTGGTCAGAGAGGGACAGAGTGAGAGAGAGCAAGAGAGATAGAAAGCGAGAAAGCAAGCCCCCAGGTCCAGGACTTGAACCGTGGTAGGCCATGTGGGAATCCAGCATTCTTAACCACCACGCCACCTGCTGGCCCCCTTTTTATTATTTTTTTATAAATTTTTAATTTTATTATTTTATACAGTCAAACTCTAAACATCATTTGGCTTGCAAAGAGATAAAGAATTACTTTATTTAACTTTATTTATTCTTATTTGACCAGAGGGGGACAGAAAGAGAGAGAGAGAGAGAGAGAAAGTGAGAAAGCAAGCTGCCAGGTCTGGGACTTTGTCAGCCATATGGGAGTCCAGCACCCTTACCTACCATGTTACCTGGTGGCCCCATTAATTACTTTTTTTTTCTTTTTAGAATTATTTAATTTATTTATTTGTTTATTTGGTTTTTATTTATTCATTAATTTATTTTACTTTGACTAGAGAGAGAGAGAGAGACAGAGAGAGAGACAGAGGGAAAGTGAGAAAGCAAGCCACCAGGTCCAGGACTCAAACTGTGGTCAGCCATATTGGTATGTCCAGTGCCTTAACAACCATGCCACCTGCTGGTCCCATATTTATTATTTTTTTAATTTGATGTGCAAGACAGAGAGAGAGTGAGAGAGGGGAAGTGAGAAAGCAAGCCTCCAGATCTGGGACTGGAGGTTGGCCCACAGTCAGCCATGTGGGAGTCCAGTGCCCTAAACTACCATGCCACCTGGTAGCCCTGAGTAATTACTCTTTATTAAAAATAAGTTATTTCACTTACATGGAGACCATGAAAATCAACTGTTTTTTTTTTATATTTTTGCCATACGGCACATGTGCTTGTTGGAAAGAGACAGAGAGAGGAAAAGTGAGAAATCACCCCCCATCCATTCTCCTCGTGGGGTTTTGGGCACACATATATACACGCCCAGTGTGTTTTTCAAGCTGCCAGGTCCAGGACTTGAATCGCAGAGTTGGCCATGTGGGATCCAGCACCTTAACTACCATGCCAGCTGCTGTCCCCTAAAAGGTAATACCTGTCCTGGCCTCTGAGACAGAAACCATGTCTTGAATGTGTTCATTTGAAAAAGAAAGCAAAGATTTGGGACCAGCAGTTAGCGTAATGGCTATGTCGCTGGATTCCCATGTAGTCGACTGTGGTTCGCATCCCAGACCCAGTGGCTTAAAACTCACGCCGGGTGCGTGTGTGTGCGTGCCCCAAGATCCCGAGAGGAGAATGGAGGAGAAGGGATTGCTGCATGGCCATCCCCCTGGGGGGGTGATTTCTCACTTTCTGTCTCTCTGTCTCTCTGGTGAGCGCATGCACCCTATAGCAAAAACCTCTAAAAAAAAAGGGGGGGGGAAGAAAGCAAAGATTTGTAAATTATCAACCCCAAACCTAGGAACTTCTGTACTCAATGTTTTTTCAGTTGGTTCCCCTGTTCCTGGAGCTGAGGGGTCCCTGGGAGGTTGAAGGGGTGTGACCGGACTCTCTTCCCCACCTTCCTGCCCTGCACATCCTCACTGCAAAGCTGGGCTCCCAGTACTTGGTGGAGACAGAGCTGCTGTTTCTCCTGTTCTTCGAAGTAACCTTCTAAGAAGCCAGTTTCTTGGCCTCGGGGACCTCCCTCTGCTTCCCCTTCTTCATCATGGGCCCTGGGCTCTAAGGGACTGCGCGTCCTCACCTGGCTACAGCTTGGCCTCTGTGACACCACTGGCAAAAAACTCAGAAAAATCGGAGCTTCAGTGTGGGCGAGAACACATGTGCTCATTTTGGGGCTTCACTGTCTAGGAACCTGTGTAATGGGGTTAGGGTCACACTGGGAGATAGCCTTGGGCCAGGGTACAGTGTAGGCTTGGCTGGAGAACAGTAGGGTCTAGGAGAAGCAACCACAAGATGGACTGAGGTGGACGGCCGAAGCTCCAAAGGCCATGTGTTCAGGGAGTATCTCCCGTCTCACTATTGGGTGTCTTGCTGCCATGGAGAGCAGCAATGAAGAGGCCGGATGAGGGAGGCAGGGCCCCGTGGCTGAGATGGGGCACTTCTCCTCCCTGGGAGGTCAGGTTCTTGCCCTCTGCCGCGGCCTGTCTGGGATCCAGTGAACTGCCATGTGCACATTGCACTCCTCGGACATGGCGGCTTCAGATGCAATCCAGCTGCTAGGTGGTGTGTAAAACCACCTGGCTGTCGCGCTGTGTGACCTGATGCCCGAGGCTCCGTCATTCTGCACTCACACATCCCCGGAGGGTCCCTGGTTCCTGGTGCTCCATCACTGATTTTCTTCTCCCAGGCCTCCCTTTACACCCGGAGCATGCCCCCAGCCCAGTCAGCCCTGCCCAGGAGGAACCAGAAGAGGGGCCAGCCCCGGGACAACAGCAACGCTCAGAAGTGGGAGTGGCCACCATGAGGCCAGGTGCCGGTGAGTGAGGGCGGTGAGACAGCTGCAGGCTGCAGGCCAGCACTGGGGTACCTGGTGTCCCTGGCATGTGTGGTTTCCAGACAAGGACTACTGAGGATGGCACTGGGAGCTTGGAGTGACAGGTGGCCAGAACCCAGGGGCTAGCTGGTCAGGGCGTTGGCATCTTTAGCATAAGAAAATGCAGTGACATCCTCAGGTGAGTCAGGCTGGCATGGGAGTGAAGGGCACAGGCGCCCCCCTCCAGGTCCCCATGTGCATCCTGTCCCAGTTTGTGCAGGCATGGTGCAGGGTCTAGTGGACACGGATGTCTCTGGGCCCAGTGGGCGTGCTGCTGTGGTCACCCTCTGGGGTCCTGGGTCTGCCTTGTTTAAACGTAGATCCTGGCTGCCCTTTAGGAGTGCCTGTGACTGAGGGGTTGAGCAGAGCTCCTGGCGGGTCTCCAGAGCCTGCTGTGTCTTGGCATGTGCTCTGCACCGCCACACTGCTGACCTGGCTCTGCCTGATGGCCTCTCTCCGTGGTTCCTGTGTTTTCCCCACCACACAGGCCTCTCTCGGGCTGAGGGTGCCCCCCCCCGGACCTCCTTCCCTGCCGGTGTGTGAGCCTGGGCTCTGCTCCTGGCATTGCAGGAAGGCAGTGCCCCTGCCCCCAGCAGACTGTGGCTGTGTCCTGAGCCCCCCTGAAGCCCTGTTCTTTTTTTTTTTTTTTTTCCCCTTAATTGCTAGAGGGAGGAAACGCTTTTTAGAGAGGGTGAGAGATCCCTCCCCCCAGTAGGGCATGGTCATGCCACAATCCATTTTCCTCCATTCTTCCATGCTGTGAAGACTGTGGGTACACACACACATGCCTTTGGGTACAAACACACCCCTTTGGGTACACACATACACATGCCTTTGGGTACATACACACACACACGCTTTTAGGTACACATGCACACTTGCCTTTAGGTAGACATGCACACATGCCTTTGGGTACACACCCACACTTGCCTTTGGGTAGACATGCACACATGCCTTTGGGTACACACCCACACTTGCCTTTGGGTACATACACACACACACGCTTTTAGGTACACATGCACACTTGCCTTTAGGTAGACATGCACACATGCCTTTGGGTACACACCCACACTTGCCTTTGGGTACATACACACACACATGCCTTTGGGTACACACATACACATGCCTTTGGGTACATACACACACACACGCTTTTGGGTACACATGCACACATGCCTTTGGGTACACATGCACACATGCCTTTAGGTAGACATGCACACATGCCTTTGGGTGCATATGCACACATGTATTTTTCAAGTCTCTGAGGCTGAGATTCAAACCATGGGCAGCCATGTGGGATCTGACTTCCTATGTACGGGGCTTAATCACTTTTCTGTGGGGCTGGCCACCCACTGTACTTTTAAGGCCATCAGGGTGACATGTTGAAGGACAAGTCATTAGCACCGGCCAGCATGGGAACTGGGGATGTGGCCTTTGTAGCTGTATCGCCTCTGAAGCCCTCCAGTTGGGAGCCCAAGGGCCCCCTCTTTTTTGCCAGGTCCAGCATGTTCAGGGCCCATTGGGAAGATGGCTGTGCCACCCAGCAGAACCTGGTGACCTTCTCAGAGCTGGGAAAGTCCCTCATGGGACCCTCTTTCCCGTAGGGCTGCAGGCCAGCACCAGCCTTCTGTCCCCGATTAAACAGGAGGGGGCATCTTCTGGTGAGGAGTCGTCGGCCTCCTCTCCCAGGGACACCCTGCCCAGCATGGGGCCAGGTGAGTGGACAGGAAGGCACCTGAGGCCTTGGCGGAGCCTCAGACATGCGGGGCCTCCTGCTGTCGGCTCCCTCCCTCCCCTGCATGTGTGATTTCCGTGGGGTCCAGATGGGCCCATGGTCCTGGTCTAACCCATCATGGTCTGGTCAGGCTGGAAGGGCATAGCTCCAGGGCACGCTGCAGGCTGCAGCCACCGTCTGAGATGCAGAAAGGCCGCTTACTGTCCACCAGGCTGTGGAGGCCTCTCTCCAGTCTGCAGGCAGGCAGGGCCCTCAGGCTCCTTGTCCTTCGCGGGTCACAGCTCATGTCATCAGGACTCTTGGGGGTGAAAGTCCTACCAACACTTCCGCTGTGGCCATAGGGGCTCTGCCTCTGCTCCCCTTGTCTTCCCAGCCATCCATCTTCCAGTCTCCCACTCCACCTGACCTCTGACCTCGCACCTCTCAGGCTCCCTGGCTCAGAAGTTTGGCCTCTTTTCTCCTGATTTCCTTAGTTGGGCCTCCAGGGATGAGGCAGATGACAACAGACAGGACTGAAAGACGTTGGGAGGTAGAGCCAGCCTGGTGATTCTGCAGGGCAGGAGCATCTGAAAGAGGGACTGGGGTGGGGGGCGCAGGGCTGGGAATGAGGCCTGGCCCCAGGACCCTGGATCAGTCCCGTCCCTCCTCACCCCCATCTACTGGAAAACCAATGTGATCTCCTTTCGCAGGCGGTGGTGTGGCCATCAAGACAGAAGTACAGTCGGAGAATGAGATGGGGTCCCAGGCGCTCTTCCTGGGGGTGGCACCCAGCCCAGTGCGGTGTAGAATCCCTAAAGGACCCAGGAACAGGCCCAGGGGCCGGCATCAGGCTGAAGGTGTTCCCAGGGTGCGGGCTGGGGAGCCTGGGCCAGCTGGGGTAACGGGGGAGTCACTCCGCGTCCTCCCGCGCCGGCGGCAGCGGGCCTTCCCCTGCCCTGACTGTGGGCAGAGCTTCCGCCTGAAAATCAACCTGACGATCCACCAGCGGAGCCACGTGGAGGAGGAGCCCAGGGGGGCCCAGGGCAGCTCTCCCCCCGCGTCGGGGCAAGACTCCTCCACACTGGAGCCGGGAGAGGTGGTAGTGCCTGGGCCTGTCATCCGCTGGCTGCCGGAGGAGCCCGCAGCTCCCCGCGCCCTGGCCGGCAGGGCCTTCATGGGACGTCGCTCGGCAGACGCCAGGGTGTACCACTGCAGCGAGTGCCTGCGCTTCTTCCAGCAGCGCAAGAGCCTGCTGCTGCACCAGCGGCTGCACACGGGCAACAGCCAGGGCTGGCCCGCCTGTCCCTACTGCGGCAAGGCGTTCCGCAGACCCTCGGACCTCTTCCGTCACCAGCGCATCCACACTGGCGAGCGGCCCTACCGCTGCCCACAGTGCGGCCGGGCCTTCAACCGCAACCACCACCTGGCTATGCACATGCAGACCCACTCGCGAGGCCAGGCGGGCCCACCCTGCCTTGGGCCCTCTGTGGGCCAGGGAAGCCCGCTGCTGCCCCGGCCTCGGCATGGGGACGAGGGCTGACCTGGCAGGAGCCTGGGCTCCTCTGGCAGGACCTGCTTCCTGTCTGTGGGGCCTCTTCCCTGTGCCTGACAAAATGCCTTTGCAGTTTTCATTCCAATGGGAAGCAGCAGCTGGTCGGACACCGTGTGTGAGGCCAGATGCCTCCAGGACTGTTCCCTTGCTTTGTCACTCTGCTGCCTTTTCTGACCTGATTTGTGAAGGACTCCATAAGGGTGAAGGGTGCTACCTTTCAGTGGGAGCCTTTGGCAGGTCAGGTAGCTGAGAGAACTGGAGATGGTGGCCCTTCCAGTGTGGGGGTGACAGACACTGGACCTGGGGTTTTGGTTTGGGGCACTGAGGTCTCTTGCTGGCTGCCCAGGGAGGAACAGCAGGGCTGGGCCTGAGGAAAGGCTCCGGGCAGCTGAGGTTTCTGCATTTGTACTTAGAACTTGCTTTTTCTTTTCTTTCTTTTATTTTTTAGACAGAAATTTTTGCTATAGGATGTGTGCACTTGCCAGAGAGATAGAGAGACAGAAAGGGAGACATAACCTCCTGGGGGAATGGCTGCACCACAGTCCCTTCTCCTCCAGTGTCCTCTTGGGATTTTGGGCACGCACACACACGTGCCTGGTGTGACTTTTAAGCCGCCTGGTCTGGGACTCAAACTGTGGTGGCTTACGTGGGAGTCCAGCTACATAACCATTACATCGTCTGGTCTCAAACTTGCTTTTTCTTTTCATAGAGCTTTGCTAGTGCTTTTTAAAGTGTGCAGTTGCAAGGGGGACCAAGTGTTCCCCAAGGACAGGGATTATTTTGCCACTTCTGGGCGTGTGTGGCCAGGTGTGTGGGGTGGGCAGTGGTGCAGATTGGAAGAAGAACTCAGTCTAGACCTGCCTGTGGCTTGTTGGGGACACCTGGCATGTGTCCTGGGAGCGGGGTCTTCCAGGTGTTTCTGGGCCCAGTGACTCTCCGTATTCCTGGTCCTTCCCACAGGGTAGCCATACCCAGTATGTCCTTTGATTAGCGGCTGAGAGGAAAAACTCAGACCAGGTGGGGACGGGACTACCCCCAAGGTCTCAGGGTCCCCAGCTGTGCATGAGCAATTGGCTGGGCTCCAGCAGGCACCTGGAGTGGTGCCGAACAAACCCAGGGGGCTCCTTCCGGAGTGGAAGACCTGTCTGGGTGAGGCCGGTCAGAGGAGCTGCTCCTCTCAGCAGCGCTGCTTTGAGAGCTGCGTGCTCTAAGGCAGAACTGGGCCGCGGGCCTCCCTGCGTCCCTGTGCACCTCCAGTCTCCCGTTCCTGTCTGTGAAGGAGGCCGTTGCCCCAGAGCACCCTACTTGGGTCCAGAGTTGGCAGGTCGAACTCAGCCTACTTGCATCCTTCAGGCCCAGGGTCCCCTTTCCCTGCCATGCTGGCCTCGGCCCTCGGCCCCACCTTCGCCCCCCCCCCTCCCACGCAGAATCCCTCAGGAAGGGCCTCCATGTAGAGTGTGTGGAGGCTGCTGGCTCAGCGGGGTGTGAGCCTTCCCTCTGGGTGACTTCCCCAGGAGCCCTTTGTGTTTCAGGGGAACAGATTCTCACCAAAGCAGGCCATCCAATCAGCCCTCAGTCGTCCCCCCCCCCAAAGCCCCACAGGGCAGCACATTCGGCCTCATAGTCACAGCCCTGTGGGTGCGGATGCAGACCACCTGGGAGTGACGGCCCCCAGGGGTCCTGCTCGGTTGTCCGCTTACCTCGGACTGGCCTGGGCTGTGCCACTTGTTGCCTACACTCACACCCCTCCCAAGTCTGGGCGAGCTGGGAGTATCTTCGGGTTTAGCTAACACCCCATCCCTGCCCATTTGAGAGAGGCGCCTCCTTTCTGTGCTATGGATCCTGCCTGTCCACCCGGCACCCCCAGCCCTAGCGGGGGGCCCCAAAGATGGGCTACCAGTGCCCAGACAGGATATGGTGTAGGTTCCCAGCATGACCCTGCAAGCAGGAGCTGTCTTGGGAGTGGCCTTCAAGCCCAGGGCTGAGGGTCTTGCTGAGTTCCTAGGCCTTTTGAGCGAAGTGAACTCCGGTAAAGACAGGCGTTTGCACAGAAGCCACAGAGCAGCCCAGGAACAGCGCGGTCGTCAGGTGCCACGCTCCCACTTTTTTCCCCTAAGGCCTTGTGAGTGCGGTGCTCCTCAGGAGGTGTTTAAAGAGTGTTCTTTATGTAGAAACGAGTCAGCGGAGGCTGCGTGGTGCTGGAACCGCTGGTGCTTGGAAGGCCAGAGGCAGGGTTGGCCCGCGGCCTCTGTAAAACAAGCGGTCGGGCTCGAGGTTCGAGGCCCTTACTACTGTGAAGGTGGCAGTGTTGCTCTAGTCGGTGCTCAATAAACACAGTGGCATACCTGAGTGCGTGCGTGTGATCTAGTTCCTGCGCTCTCTCTGCGGGGTGACGGCTGTGCAGGGCTGTCCCGAGCGAGCGAGCGAGCGTGGGGATCGGATCCCGTCCGAGAAAGTCTCAGGCGGGCGCTCACATCAGCAGGTGTCCGCCCGGCCCGGGCGCGCGGCGCGCGGCGCGGCGGCGCGGCGGCGGAGCCTACTGAGCGGGCCAATGGGAAGCTGTCTCCGGGTTGCGGGGCGGGGCCCAGGGCTCAGCGTGCTCCGCCGCGCACACAACGCTGCACCCAGCTCAGAGGTGGCCGTCCCTGTTCCCGGGTCCCACTATCCCCGCGCGCCCCGAGGACCTATTGCCGCGAGAGCCTCATCTGTGCAGGAAGGCAGGACCAAGTCTGCGCCGCTTGCGGAGGGAACCGGCGGCCGGGCCTGCGTGGGGCTGCGAGTGGTGGTGGCGGCGGTGACAACTCTCCGACCCACGTCGAACAGCACAAGATCATGGCTGAGGCGGCCCCTGCTCCGGAAAGGGCGGCCCTCACGGAGGACGTGGAGACGTGGAGCCGAGCTCTGAATTCACCGGGAGGATGTCCTGCCTCCTTCCCTATCACCTCCTGGAATTGGGGAGAGCTCAGCCTGGGTGGAGGGAGGGCGAGGACTCCTAAGGCCACATGATCAAGTCCCGTCTTTTTCGGCCCGTTTCCTCTACTGCAGAATAAGGCAGTTAGACTTGACCACAGGTCCCTGGCCCTCTCCAGCCCTGTTGTCAGGTGCCAGGTTGAGCTGGCTCTGTGGGTTCTGGTGTGGGGAGGGCGTTCTGTAAATGTCCTCACTCCAGAGACCTTTCAGGCTCTTCTTCCTGGACCTGTGCCACTCCGCCCCCAGTGGACCATCTGAGAGACAGTCCCCCCACTCTCAGCCCTCTCCTAAGATAAGTGCGGTGCCTCATCTGGGAGAGCATATTCACTCCAGGCTGGGCCTCACTCAGCTCCTTTCTGAGGACCTAGTCGTACCCCTGGCCGTGAGGGTCCCTAAGGGCCTTCTAGATCTGAGCTCTGATTCCAGTCAGGATGGAGCCCTGTGCCTTCCCACTGTTCCACAATTCCACGGGAAACCTTTGTGGGAGGATTCTGCATTAGAGAGGACTTCAGGTTAGTGGGTTTTAGGGTTGCCTGTGCAACACAAACTGCTGAAGTTTTTCTGGTGTCTCTGAAGGTAGAGGGGACATGTCCTGCTAGAAATAGCTCTGCAGGGGAACCAGCAGTTAGCGTAATGGCTATGTCGCTGGACTCCCACGTAGTCGACCGCGGTTTGTGTCCCGGACCCGGTGGCTTAAAACTCACGCCGGGCGCGTGTGCGTGCGTGCCCAAGATCCCGAGAGGAGAATGGAGGAGAAAGGATTGCGGCGTGACCATCCCCCCTGGGGGGTGATTTCTCGCTTTCTGTCTCTATGTCTCTCTCTGTCTGTCTGGCGAGCGCACGTGCCCTACAGTGAAAATCTCTC